AATCTACTAGTACACACTTACCTCAAAGTCGTTGATTACGAGCTTGATGACGAGGGCATCATCGTGCGGATATTGTACTCCACGCATATCGTCCTCGGTAAAGTAAATAGGCTCTTCTACTCGAGGTCGCTTGGGCGGATTTTCAACTTCCTGTTCCAATTCTCGGATTGAGGTCTTCCCTACTACTGTGTTGCACCCCACAACAATGGATCCGTCGGTGATCATATTGATCACCCTGCGGATCGGTCTGTCTTCCAGCGGGGGTTGTTGCCGAGGTGGCTGATGCTGAATGAATTTCATCAAATACCCGCGATGAATTAGTTCATCGATCTCATCGCGAAAGTTTCGACATCCTCAGTGTTGTGCCTGATGTCATGATGAAAGTGACAATAGACATTCGGGTTTCTAGTTGCTAGGTTTCCCCGCATCTTGGATGGACACTTGACATAGCTAGCATCCTTGATTGCCATCAAAATCTCACCCCATTTTGCGTTAAGGGGGGTGTAGGTGGTTCTCTCTACTGGGGCGGTCCTAGATCGCCGACCTGACCTAGAACCTTGAGGTGGTGACTTGCTCTTTCTACGTGGAGACTTGCCTCTTCTTGGTGACTTGCTCTTCCTTCGTGCAATGCTTGCTGCTGCTGGTCCCTTCATCTGCTCTTTTCCTCTTTTCCCCTACCGAATCTCTGCCTTGGAGCCTAGGGCTTCTTCCGTCTTCATGAACTTCTTAGTGTCAGAAAGGAACTTATCGATCGTCTTCGATGGGTGTACTCTGAAGTGCCATGCGAACTCGACATGCTTCACTTCTTTCTGAGCTGCGATGAGGCGTATGGCTGGGTCGAGGTCGGGTATTTGCAGACACTCTTCGTTGAAATGCGTGATATAGCTTCTAATTGATTCATTGTCTTTCTATACCACGTTCAAAAGGCTCGACATGGATTTCGGGCACTTCTTGCTGGTGATGGAAGCAATAAAAATGTCGGCGAACTGAGCCTAGCTCTAGATCGAGCCTGGTGCTATGTTCCTGTACCATAATCTGGCTAACCCTTTAGAGGTTGTGGAGAAGGCCATGCACATGCTCACCTCATTTGCCCCGGCAAGGAGCATCTAAGATTGGAACGCATCGACGTGGTTGTTAGGATCGAACTTCCCATCGTACATCTCTAGCGCGGGTGTTTTGAAGTCTTTTGGCCTCGGGGTTTCAAGGATCCCTGGCGCCAGGGGGAGGGCTGGCTGTGCAGCTACTGAGCTCTCTTCCTCCCTCACCCTGCTCGATTATGGAAGGATGTTACTCTTTGGAAAACTATTTTTTACTGCTGTCCGATGGGCTTTGCGGCAACGTTGCTTCTTCATTGTTTCAGCATTAGTGCTATTTACTTCAGTGTTGTCAGGCACCTCAACTCTAGTGCATTCTTGTTCTTGGATATTATCGCGAGGAGGAAGTTGGCTTTTATTGCTCATGTCCTCCCTACCACGGACGGTATGTTGGTCATTACGGGGAGCAGAGGGGTCTCAACGCGAGCCCACATCTCGTGCCCCGGGCTAGCAGTAGATGTTCTGGAGGTCATGGTTCTCAGGCCGTGTGTTGTTGCTGATTGGTCTTGGTTCGCGTACTATTCTTAGGCCGGTTCCTTGGATTCGCTCCCTTAGATGGTGGGGGCGTGCGCTGACCCTCAACTTTATCCCGAGGTGGGGTCCGAACTCATAAAGGTGTTGGGACTAGAGATGCTTCTACACCCCGAGGAGGAGATCAGCGTATGCCTTGTGGACGTTGGTCCTGGTTCTGGTTTGGCTGTGGTAGCAAAGGGAACTGTTGCTGGTACTACTGCTGGTATTATTGTTGGTATTGTTGCTGGTATTGCTAGTAGAGGTAGTATTAATGGAACTGTTGATACTGATGCATTTGTTGCATCTGAAGCTGCATAACTCGAACACTTTGGACCAGGTCATCGAACTGGTAAGGCCCAACCCCAGGAGGGAGCATAGAGGGCTTCGGGATGGAGAAGGTAGTGTTTACCTGGGGCAGTGGGGCATGCAATGGTTGAGTAGTGAAAGTCTGATTCACCTGACCTCCCGGGACGGTCAGGGGGATAGTGATCTGGCCGATGGTTATTGAGGGGCCTTTAGAGTAAATGGTGGTGTGGTCTTGCCCCCAGTAACACTCATGTCAATGGCCTTACCGGTATTGCTTGATGATGCCATCAAGTACAATAGAAATAGAGAGTGAATAGGGACTTAGCTTTTATGTAGCATTCCCACAGACGTCGCCAAATGGTGGTGCACAACCTGGATGCACCTAGCTGGAGAATGCTGTCGACATCACTTGCTTAGTAGGATAATTAATCTGTAAGACAAACAGACCAGAGAACCCAGGGTAGCTAACCTGAGGAGGTCGCTCCGATGCTTAAGTCAGTATTCGGATGTGCGAGCTATAGGTTGCATGCTAGAGAGCTAGAGAGCAAATAGACGTGTGTACCTCGATTTCGAGTGGTTGAGGCCCATATATAGGTGGGTGACTGTAACTCTTGTGAAACGTCCCCGGAATCTTGGCTCTGAGCCATTGGGGTCCATTCCCGGAAGGCGGGGATTCCGCTAATTGACGAGAGTCACTACTACCTTCCGATTCGGATGGGATAGAATTAATGCCTACGGTTACGCGATGTGTCCCCGAGAGGCTCGGAGACAGCCATTAGCCATCTAGACACTCGCCATGTGTCACCCTGATAAGCACAACCTTCTAGGATACCTAGGTTTAGGTAGTACCTAAGGTGGCCAATGTGCCCGAGGTGAAGTGACCTACCGAGGTGGTCGGGGTGTGGTCTGACCTGTTGAGTTGAGGTGATCAGGTATACAAAGTTAGTTTGCCAGATAGTTGAGGATGTTGAGTCACATCTCCAATCACCTTATCGAATCCGCGCATCCGCTACTTACTAGGTCGGGCCAAATCACCCCTCATCAGGTTCCTTTGGAGTGTATGAGTGGTTCCTCTAGAGAAGATGATAACGACTTTCTCCTTTGTAGTGTGTGAATGGTTCCTCTGGAGTAAACGATGATGACTTTACTCTCGGAAGCAATTAGGGTTGTGGATGTATTTTTTTTTTTTTTTTTAATTTCAGATGGCTCGTGATGCATTAGATTAGGCTTACGACCAACCAACCCAATTGCCACGTTGGTGCCAGGTAAGATTTGTATTTCGTGAAATGCCGAACCATTGGGGGAAGCAAGAATTTGAATTCCCTACACGGCTAGATTCACATAAATCGAGATGTTTCAATTTCTTTGCCTTTTTTGGATAAATGCCCAATTGTATAAATGCCACCTGAACCAATTGTTCAATTGTAAATTGTAAATAAATGCCCAATTATTAAATAAATGCCACCTGAAACAATTGTCCAATTGTAAATAAATGCCCACACCTAGGGTTGGCCACGAGCCAAGCTCTTCACGAGCTATTCCAGCTCTGCTCGGCTCGGTTTCAACCGAGCTTCGAGTTGAGCTCGAATATATATATATATATATATATATATAAATTAATAATAATAATAATAATAATAAAAAAAATTATAGAAAATAATATATATAATAAAAATATTATAATTTTTAATTATTATAATTCTTAATTTTTTAAATATCCAATAAAAAATATTTTTATATATAATTTTTATTTTTATGAAACATTTTTTCTCAAATCGAGTTCGAGCTTATGAGTTTTTGACTCGAGCTCAAGGTCCTAGCTCGAACCGAGCTCGAGCCTTGTACTTCCTAGGCGAGGCAAGCTCGAGACTCGTACTATTCGGCTTGACTCAGCTCGAATCCACCCCTACTCATACCTAGTTGGTGCAGATGTAGCATCGTTTTTTCAAGAAACGGTCACGAAACCAAGCATGCTCTTATATTCATCAAAATTTTAGAATTTTGTGCTTCCAAATGTAAGTTTTAAATTTATTAATTATATGATATAAGAGTATTATATAATATAAATAAAACACTATAAAATATTTAAAAATGTTAACCAATTAATTAAAATTTATGTTGAAGGGTAAATAATTAAAAAAACACTTTTAGAATGGTGGACATCAGAGAAAAACACTTTTAGAATTGGTGTAAGGCAATCTTAAGCGGGACCCATGAAAGTTCAATCTCTAGAAGAATTATGTACTGTTGACATCAGTGGTGGTCACCAAATCAAATGGTTCTTAGTCAATTTGGACAGGACAGATAGCTAGTACTAGTTGGTGATGATCCTCGTGGTCGTGGGATCTAAAAGGTTTCATGCCCACCTCTCTGCCTTGAGTCCGGATCTCCTGCGCACGAGAACTTTGCCTTTGCCAATTATAAAACTCTCCTGCAAACCATACAAATTATTGAAAATACAACATGTTTGAACTTTCAAAACAAGAAACAAAAAGTTAAGAAAAGAAAAGCAACCCCCTCCCCCCCCTTCTTTTCTCTCTCTCTCTCGAAGCAACAACAGCCTCTGATTTTCTCCTAATCTTGTAATTGTAGACAAGACAAATTGTGCGACCCTTTTCGACCCAACAAGCCTTTTTCACGGGAGACAGGCACTTCTTTTCTGGTAAATGGATTTTTAAAATAGGGGCATATTCGTAATAATCTCCAATGACGAGTCCTATTATTTGCAGAACATTTCAAATGCCAGAAAACAAACAAAAGAACGAAAAACACTTGTTGAGAAAATAATAGAAAATCAAGCGACCGACACCAAACTCAAATGCATCAGATAGACCGATTGACCGGCAGACAGATGCCCGTTTTTTGAGACGGAGAAAGTAAGTTTAAAGATTGACGCTCACAGGGCGCGCCTACATGTATATCTCACCGTGCATTGTGAATATCGTCCGTATTTGTTACAGGGAAATGCTCCCAATACACGGTTGGATATGATGTGAAGCGCGAGTGGGACACGGTCTGTAGGGCGCCGTTGGGAATTTGAGAAAATAAAATAATAAATAAATAAATAAAGGATAAACAACACAAAGATAGAGCGCGCTATCGCACTGGTGAGAAGTGAGAAATAGAGAGGGCTCGAGACAGAGAGAGAGATAGAGAAAGAACGGAGAGTGAAGGGGATCAGACGCTATGCAGCCAAATAGAAGTAGAAGCAGAAATAGGAATCAGATCAGCCTTGTTGGATTTGATATCCTCACCGTAAATGACGTATTCAACAGGAAGAAACCCTAAACCATTCAAGAGGTCTTCGAACTGGACTGACCTCTGGTTCAAGTACAAAACTCTCAAGCATAAGCATGTTGTTTTCAAGATGCAGCTCCCATCTCTCAACGCAGCGGCAGCAGCAAAAAATGAGAAACATCCAGCGAAAAACCGAAGCTTAGGCTCTTCCAAGGATCTAACCTCTCTCTTATCCGACGAGCTTCTCCTTCGAATCTTCTCCAAGCTTCCTGACTCACAAAGAAACCCTAATTCGCTTGTATGCAAGCGATGGCTAGCTCTCCAGGGACGTCTTGTTCGCTCCGTTAAGCTCCTCGATTGGAGTTTCCTTGAATCTGGTCGCCTTGTTTCTCGTTTCCCTAATCTTACTGATATTGATCTTGTCACAGCTTGCATTTGTAGGCCCAGGAATTCTGGAATATTTCTATCCCACAAATTCATATCCTTTCATCTTGACTCTGGTTTCTCTCCCGGTGGGTTTATCCACGGGGAGAATTTACTGTCGCCAGAGTCAATTGATCGAGGGCTACGAGTTATTTCCCGCGGATGCCCTAATCTTCGGAAGCTTGCATTAATCAGTGCCACTGAAACGGGGTTGGAAAGCGTCGCTGAGGAGTGCCCGACTTTGCAAGAACTAGAGCTGCACCGGTGCACTGATCTCACGCTGCGTGGGATTGCCGCCTGCCAGAACCTTCAGATCTTGAATTTGATTGGAAGTGTCGATGGTTTTTACAATTCTGTGGTTTCGGATATTGGCCTTACTATCTTGGCACACGGGTGCAAGCGGCTTGTGAAACTTGAGCTGAGTGGGTGTGAAGGGAGCTACGACGGGATCAAAGCTATTGGGCAATGCTGCCACATGCTGGAGGAACTCACGCTGTGCGACCACAGGATGGATGCAGGGTGGATGGCTGCATTATCATTCTGTGGGAATCTGAAGACATTGAGGCTTAAGTCGTGCAAAAAGATTGATCCGAACCCCGGACCAGTTGAACATTTGGGGTCTTGCCCTACCCTTGAACGGTTGCATCTGCAGAATTGCCAAGTCCGGGATCAGCAGAGCATGAAATCATTGTTTATCGTATGCGAGGCTGTTAGAGAGATCATGTTTCAGAATTGTTGGGGCTTGGACAATGACATGTTCTCCTTTGCCAGCACTTGCAGGTATCAACCTACTTTGATGCCCATACTTCTTCAACTATGTTCTTTACATTTCAGTAACCTAATGACTATAGATTCCTTTTCTTCAATGGCTGGCACTTTATTACAGAGCTACCTTGAAGATGCATTTATATGGGTAGAGATCAACCAGGAAGCATGACATGAAGCGTTATGTTACAATTGTAGTTTGGCCTTTCCCTTAGTGTAGGAGTCAGCAGCTGCAAACTGAACAACTATAGTTACGCTGAAATTTTAAAATACAGAATTCTGCTCACCCAAAATAGTTCTTCTAAACAATTTATTTCGTTCTAATGAAAACCGATAGTAGATTTATCCTTCTAATCAACTTAAGGAGTTTTGTCTTAAAAGATGACATGAACAAAACAAATAAAACCATGAGAACCAAAGCAAAATATTGAACATAGAAATGGTTTAACATGGTTCTACACTAAGCCAACATCTGCAGGAGAATCTGTGAGTTCTTTCATTTTTTTGATAGCTTCTTCTGGATCACTAGGAGAACATGGCTTTTCTCCCCTTAAAAATCCTAATTTAATCCCCAGAACCCGTAAGGAATTTACTTAAAATATACCCTTGCACATACAGACAGGTAGCCCCAGGCACACCCGCACTGACATGCTTTTGGGAATGTAAGCGAGATACAAAATGGGCTGTGGAGATTTTTAAGGCAGGGGGGGGGGGTGCATGCTGCACTTCATACTCTTTTCAGAGTACAATAGATGGAGAGGTCTTCCATGTCACAGAGATATCTTCATTTGGTCATTGGCCCAACTTTTTTACATATAGGCAGGCTTTTGTCATGGCTGATTGTGCAAATAACAATTCATTATTACATTAGGAACTTATTATATTAGTTGCTAATCACTTTCTTTACAGGAGGGTAAAGTATCTATCTTTGGAAAGATGCTCGTTGCTGACAACAGATGGTCTGGAATCAGTGGTTCTTTCTTGGAAGGAGCTTCAAAGGCTTAGAGTGGTCTCATGTAACAATATAAAGGACAATGAAGTCACTCCTGCACTGTCAAGCTTGTTTTCTGTGCTCAAGGAGTTAAAATGGCGACCAGATTCCCGATCTCTTTTTTCAACCCTTTCAGCAACAGGAGTGGGAAAGAAAGGTGGTAAATTTTTCAAGAGGGTATGAGGCCTGAACTTGCTACAAGATGGTGAGAATCTGAGCTTACTCTCATGCTTCAGGAGGCTATCACAAAAGGTCTTGTGGCAATTCTAATCATACTACCATTCTGATGTAGTCATTCTCTTACCCATTTAGATGGTTAACATGGTCATTAATGGAGGATGATTTACATTTTTCTTTTGCTTACAGTGAACCGGCCAATGGAAACTAATCATTTTAAACGTGTCAAACCCTCTTCACCTGTTATTTATGCATGTGGAGTAACTTGTTCACCTGAGTTTCAAAATTTCCCAGCTCAAATTACTCCATGATGTATTTACCCTAACCCTGCATCTGTTATACAGTTGTACTGTTTACAAGGTTAGATATGCTAATCCCCTTTCTGTTAAGTAGTTAAAGGAAGATACTGGAAGGGGTTGTTGTAATTGGATATCTCAATGTCACATCTTTGTTGTTCATTTTATATACTTGGGTTTTTGAACATCTTGGATATGTAGCATGAAAAATGTCTACAGAACATTATTGTTGTCAAATCATCACAGGAATCGGCCCCCTTTCTGCAGCACATTCCTGCTGAATCATATCTTCAATTGTTACTGGAAGGATGAACTTACATGTCATGATGCTACTGCTCAAGCTGGTAGGTTGGTTTTGCCGTTTTGGTACCGGTATTTGCTGATCTTTATTGAAATTTGCTTGTGCCATCAGTTTGGATGGCCTTTTACTTTTACCAAGGTGGGATCAATGTACCTTCCAAATAAGAAGTACAGAAGTCTTATAACCGGAGTCTGCGTTCTGTGCACCCATGGGTGCACTGGACGTGTGAAACCCACCAATAAAAATGTTTCACATCAGCATTTTTGAAACTCTGATAACTTGACGGGTGTTCAGCCGTTAGCTGAAGAAGCCCGGTTGAACCACCCACAAAAAGACAAAAAAATCATAGAATGATTTCTTTCAAGGGATTTCATTCGAACTCCCTCCCGTTTCTTCCTCTCCTCCGAGCCCTAACACAGAGAAGCATCCCACCGACCACTCACCACCCATCGGTGTCCGTGAACGTTGTAGCCACCGGCAGCGGAAAGAATTCCGGCGGTAAGAATTCCTCTTCTTCTTCAGTACAGCCAACCAGAAGACAAAAATGCTCAGGGATGAAGTCTTTATTGTTCATTTATCAGTACAACCAACCAGAAGACATGATATATTAATCCCCTTTCTGTTAAGTAGTTAAAGGAAGATACTGGAAGGGGTTGTGTAATTGGATATCTCAATATCACATCTTTGTTCATTTTATATACTTAGGTTTTTGAACATCTTGGATATGTAGCATGAAAAATGTCTATAGAACATTTTTATTGTCGAATCATCACAAGAATCAGCCCTCAACTGTTACTGGAAGGATGAATTTACACGTCGCGATGCTACTGCTCAAGCTGATAGGTTGGTTTTGCCGTTTTGGTACTGGTATTTGCTGATCTTAATTGAAATTTGCTTGTGCCATCAGTTTGGCTGGCCTTTTATTTTTACCCAGGTGGGGATCAATGTACCTTCCAAACAAGTACAGAAGCCACATAACCGGAGTCTGCGTTCTGTGCACCCATGGGTGCACTGGACGAGTGAACCCACCAATAAAAAGGTTACATGTCTGTTCAGCCGTTAGCTGAAGAAGCCTGGTTGAACCACCCACAAAAAGACAAAAATCATAGAATGATTTCTTTCAAAAGATTTCATTCGAACTCCCCTTGTTTTTTCCTCTCCTCTGAGTCCTAACACAGAGAAGCATCCCACTGGCCACTCACCACCCATCGGTGTCCGTGAATGTTGTAGCTTTTGGCAGCGGTAAGAATTCCTCTTATTCCCTTCTTCTTTTTCTTCTTTTTCAGTACATGTGATTTCTGCCCTGCATGAGGGGAAATATAAAAGGCAAGGAAGAGGGTCCATTTTGGTGTTACACATTTAAATAGAGTTGTAAAATCAACCACAGAAAACGGGAATTAAGAAAATGGGATATGTCTCTGAGTTCCAGTTGCCCGTAGCACTTCTGAAAGACCAAAACCGCTACCAGAAGTTAAGCACGTGCTGACCTGTCTTTAGCAAATGGTGGATGCTGTCAAGATTGAAATAGCGACTGAGAAGACAACCAAGATTGACCCACCTGCTAGCAGATCCTCCACCCAAGCCCGATGAAACAGTGATCCCATCACCAGATGAACTAGCCCTAGTTGTAGAACCTACAGAACCACTGCCGGAAATGAAAGGAAGTTCAAATGAAATCCCTCGAAAGAAGCTATTCCTTTTGTGTCTGATTCGATTGGGTTCCAGCCGCTAACGGGTGAAATCCCGTTAACTGTAGGATCAATTTGAAATGATGAGATGTAACATTTTTATTGATGGATTCATGCATCCTATGGCCTATGGGACTGCGGACTCTCATAACTGAAGAGAGGAACAGTACTATTTATTGAAAAAGTATGCCGACTTTTAAGAAGTCAAGAACTTAGATATTTCTGTGAAGGATATAATCTTGTGGGGGGACTGATTTGAATTCTCTACGTTTGTTTTTCAAACTGTTCGTTTTTTTTTGAGTTCTCCCTTTCAATTTGCAATAACTACTGTACTAAAAACAAGGGCAAAAAGAGTTGTGGTGAAGTAACCAGAGACCTGGAGAGTCTTGCGTGCGATGGATTAATTTCCTGCAAATTGATCTTCGCACCACATTGTTTCTTATGTAAAATGTTGCTACTTCGTTTGCGACTTGTGATCGCCTCAAGAAGTTCTATCAAACCGCAAGTGCATGGAAGTAAATATTTTTTATGCAGGCAAAGAGGTGGCATTACTAGCAAATCATATGAAGGGAAGCTTTCTGAACTAGGTTTGACATGGTAGGTCTGAAGAATTAGTTAACATGTTTCCATCCTCTGCACCTCTGAAGTCTGAACTGATCGCTTTTGGCATTCCTGTTTGCTGACCAAGCTGACACGATAGAAACCTTCCCATAAAAAAATCTTCATTACGCATTTCTCTTCACATTATTAGGCTTTCACCTGCTCTCCCATTGGCTTCTTTCAAAACACTGGCCAGGCTGGAGGCTCACAATATGGAGATTATCAAGACCTAAGACCTTAGCTACCTCAGTGCCATTCTTTTTTATGTAAATTTGGTTGCTCAACGTGCCAAGAACTTTAACTCTTAGAGGTGTGGTGGAATTGCCCTATTTTTTATTTTGGGTGGAGCAGGTTGTAAATATTTCGTTTGGTCATGGCTAATGCACAGCTTGTTTATCTAAAAAAATGTAAGGCATCCCTAGCTCTTAACGTTGTGTTAAGGCTGCAAATTTGAAATTTTAAATGTTTTTCAAGTCCGGCAAATTGATGCATTAAGTCTTTCAACAGTAACCAACCGAGGGCTAGCTTGTTGGTGTATTAGCTGGTTTGTTCCAGTATTAACGCAGAATCAAATTATACAATCAGCACTTTGGGGAAAAAGGGCAAGGGAGAAGTGAGAAGCTATTAATAGTGCATAGCTCCGATTACCAAAATGGGTCTTTCAACAGTACAGGTAAATTGTAATAAAGGAAGAGGGTGCAGTTGGCTAAGTGACTGGTTGGTGTAAACGCAAGGAACCACAAGAGAGTGATTCAACGGGATATCTACCATCTTCTGCGTGTCTCCTAGGCAAACACTTCCGGTTGTTTTGCTAATAAAATGCCTTAAATGCTAGAGGGTCCAACACCTCAAGACTGTTACTCTCCTAGTTCATCGCTCTTGCCATGTAGAATTCGCCTAAGTGGTTTCTTACAATGATGCTACGGAGGTGGAGCCCAAGAGTTGTTTCTGTGTCCATATATTAGTTGATCAATACTTCAAGGTCCCATTCGTTCTTTAGGAGGTTATTTACCTAGGTAAATATAGTTATTTGGGTAAGTTTTTTCTATTTATTTCTCATGTAATAATGAAATGACTATTTTAGTCATAAAAATCCATAATTAAAAGGGGCATTTTAGTCTCATTCAAGTGTTGGTAACTTTCCCCCTAGGTGGGAAAGTTATTTACCCACCTAGGAAAATAAACTTTCCCTGATCCCCACGTAAATTTGAAAAAATAGCATAAGATTCTTGGTCAATGGAAACCAAAATCCCATTGACCAACTTTCCCCCATCTCAAAATCTGAAAAAAGAACGCCCCAAGAAGTATGATGAAACATTAAGGATAATTCAAGCGTGGTTGAAAATTGAAATCAATACCTTGCATTACATTTTTGCACCTAGCCTTCTATACATACCACATTAAGGCGCATTACATAATTTGGTTCCATTAAGGGTGCTTCAAAGTTAATTGATCCATTTATAATTGGATCATTTATGTAATCCACCCTCATAGTCAATATAATCCGATTCAATCAACTTAAATATATATGTTTTTACATACTTAGAATTCGTTTGCTTCATAGTTGGAATTGGAATCGGAATCAGAATGGTCTATTTCCATAATATTTTTGGTTCAGATGGAAATGGGAATGAGATTTCATTCCCAAGGGAGGGGCAAGGAATGTGCATTTTCTCAAATGGGGGAGTGCCATTCCAGTAGGAATAGGAATGAGATTCCGATTCCGCCCAACCAAATGGTTGAAACTGGAATAACCCATTTTGATTCTAATTCCAGACCTCTATTCCCACGAACCTAACGGGGCTTTAAATTTTATATTGTATCAATTACTAAAGTTGGTTTGAATGTTGTGATTTTACTAAATTGTCCAAGGTTCAAGTTTCATACAAGTAATTTTCAATTTATTTTGTTCATATAATACAATATCAAAGTTATGTTTAGTTCATTTCATTGACAATATATAATATTTTGATTATTTTTACCTTGAAGAAATCCTATTCTAATTTGAATATAAATGAATCTGATTTGGATCTACCTACCATATGTTGTGTCTATGCACCTCATGTCCATTCTACCCTGGCTCAGAAATTTGGGGATCTATCTATCTATATATCTATCTATCTATCTATATATATATATATATATATATATATATATATATATACACCGGTGGGGGCATATTGGGCCATATCGGTATTTTTTTTTATTTTTTTCAAAACTGGTTTAGTGGGCCAGTTTAAGTCTCCACCCTTGAACTGGGCAAAACCCCGATACACCCCCTATAGGGGAGTATCAGGAAGCTCCCAAAATGATACGTATGACCGATACGTATCGATACTTTGAACCTTGGGTCAGACCATTCGACTTGGGAACTAGAAGGCAATATGGTTTCTTAAAACCATGATTTTCGTTTTTTCTGAAAAATTAGAACTGGTCAAAACCCAATAGAACTGTTGAAAACTGGGTGGGTTTCAATGATCCAACCAAGGTTCAAAAGTTTTGACACTCAAAATAGATAAGCTTTGGCCTTTTGACCCATTTCACGGGGTACACATGCCTAAGACCTACCCTTAACCTACTTTTGAAATAAATTATAAAAAAAGTAGAAGTTAGGCACAAAGTACCGAAATGCCCCTTCTGGTATAATAGGGTGTATCAATACTTGAACCTTGATCCAACAGACTTTAGTGACCCATCTAGGTCACTAAATGCACATATATTACATGCACTAGCTTTTGCCTTATATTTGTAAGGTGGGCCCTACATGAAAAACATAGAAGCCATATTTGGTGAAAAATTTAAAAAAACCCCAATACATTTTTAATCAATCATGAAATCAGCTTTCTGTGAAACTAATTTAAAGCCGCTTTAAAAGGGCTTTCATGTAGTAACTTATGGCTTGGCAAGGTGGGCCTCATACAGAAAGCCTAGATGCTATGTTGGGTGAAAAACATGGAAAAGAAGAATACTCTTTAATAGAGCTAATAAGTCGGCTTTCTAGTGAAGCTAATTTAAATAGCATTTTTGAACATGGCCAAGGTTGTTTGATAACAACTGAAAATTTTTCCACTGTCTTTTATTTATGCTGCGTTTGGAATTAGTGTAAAACATCATCAGTGTAAAGTGACCGTTGCTTTTTGAAAAATGCGATGGGTGAAAGTGTAAAGTTTTATATTGATAAAATCAATGTGATTTTTACATCGATTATCGATGTAAAATTTTATGCTTGATGAGGTTTTACATTGATTATCAACGTAAAACTCCATTCCATCCAAACACACACAAAACTGAACTGGAATGGAATTTTACGTCGATCATAATTACACGCTTCTTCCAAACGCCTACAAAACTGAATTGATGTAAAATTTATATCGATTCTTGATTTACATTGTTTTCAAAGGCAGCCTTAATAATTAAAGAGGTTGTCAACTCCTTAATAACTAAAATTGAAATTGGATAGAAAACTGTATCCTTTAAAAATTTATCATTTAATTATTTTAACAACTAAAAGATAAAGCAATAAGTCTTTCAATTGGTTAACAAGCAGCCTCTCCTTCCATGTAGCTCAATTTAAGCTCATTTAGGATGGTTTCAGCATTGATCGAGGAGAGTGATGAACCCGTGTTTTGCGAAAATCTTAGAAAGCAAAAAAATATGATTACATGAGACGCAAAAATAATCTTTTGCTAAAGCTATTTTTTGTAGCTTTTTAGGAAAGGCTAATTCAACGCCACTCCGGATCTGCTACCCACAAAATATTCTCATATCCATAGAACACAATCGCCTTGTGTTGGGAACATCTTCAATAAAAGAAGATATTCCTAGTGCGCAACTGTATGTCTCATGAATAGAAATGTGGGTAGCAAATCCGAGACCATTCAACGCAGATCAGTCAAAGCTAAAGCCCTACTAAATGGGGGTATGAACTGCATGCATTCATTGAATCACTTTCCGCATGAGGCCTATATTGCAATGGCAAAACCGCTGCATGAAGCCCTCCCAAAAAGCGGATCGGTGAAAGCAGCTCACTGAAAGCTGAGAGTAAGTCCTCCCAATGGGTAGTTGCAACTTGCAAGCATCCGTGTATAACATTCTTTTTCCTAGTTTTTAGTCGAATTTTAAATTGTGGATCTATTGCTCTGCATGAGTGCAACGTGTTTTAGGTACCACGTTACAATACATGTGCAGTGCACGACAATCTATACACCATTGAAATTCGTTTATACCTTAAAGGCTTTAAACATAGAGAGACAAGAGGTACAAGAAGCATGCGGAAAAGGAAGTCCGACGAGGTTGGAAGTTTGTTCATTCGGTCTTGAAAAAAGGGAGAGAGGGATAGGGAGGAGAATGAATCAATGAAGAAAGGGAAGAAGGTGCTAGTGATATCAAATCCTCCTGCTGGTGGAGAAGGCTCAGATAAAAAGGGCGAATTATCTCTGCCCTTTGGCTCAAATCCTTCTTCCCGAAATGCTTCTTCTAAATACGATTTTGTCAAGGTTATTTATTGATTCTTTTGCTCAGTCCGCCCAATTTACTGTTTTTAATTTTTAATGTATTTTTCTAATGCTTTTGTTTAATCTTAGAAGCTATCTTCAAATACAATGAGAACAATGTTGCCACTATTTTTTCTTCAATTTATTCACTCGATGCGTGTCATCTTCGGTAATCAGGTAAAGGTATGGCTTGGCGATAATGCGGATCACTACTATGTTCTATCCAGATTTCTCCTCAGTAGAATGTTGACTGTCACTAAGGTGCCGACACCCCATAATTTTTTTTTCCGTTTTTATGTATTTATTATTTATTCTTGATGATCTTGTTTCCTTTTCTGTCATTAGTACTTAGGAGTTTTTTTTTTTTTTTCTTTCTTTTCTTTTCTTTTCGTTTTACGTGATGCTTACCCCTGTTAATTTGTTTTATATTTACCCTGTTATTGATAGTTGTGGTTGAATTCTCTATCAATTTTACTTTCTGGGAAGTAATTTTGTTTTCCCTTGTCAATATTAACTGCAAATAGCTTCATAGAGAGAGGATAAAAAAAAATACGAAAAGGTGACCAATGAAAAAAGAGAGAAATTGCAATTGCAAAATGTGAATTCTGCGTTCTGCTGCTGTTATTTGTAGTTGACAAATATCTATAAGAAACCCATTTTGGTTCTCCAGGATAAAAGGAGGCCATCCAAAAAGACAATGAACACCCTTTCAACGAAAAAGAAAACAACCAAAACATGGGCCCCTGGTAAAGAACCTAGTACAAAGATTATCTATCTAGTATTTACTTCCCTAGATAGCCTATCAATAATTGAGTGAGTGGATCTTGACGTCCCTTGGAGCTCAGCCTCATTGAAAAAGATCCAGTTTGCTTGATTTAGTGGCTCAGCCTCCATAGGTCAATTGATGAATCTAATCACGATTTGGATATCCTCTCAGATCCTCTAATCTCTACTAGAATTCTCTAAAATCCCATGTAGAAAAGAAAGGCCATTACCCAATATTGGTCCTAGCTATCTGGGGTCTATAAATCCCCTGAAGCAGGGATAGGATCTCCACCATCACAGGGTCTCCTTCACTGATAGGTCCAGAATAATCAAGAATAGCCTCCTGGCCCTCACCCGTACTTCTTTAGCAGGCCCCACATATAACTGATGGCTTGGGTTTAACTGTTTAACAAGGGAACATCCATCAACTTTAAGTTTGATGGTGTTTGTTCTAGGGGGAATGATCTTAGACTATCACGCTTGAGTCTGGACCAAGCAATGGGTTGCCACACTTGCAGTGGCACATCAACTCAAATGCCTATGAACATTTCCATCTCTCAGAAGCAGTGATGATGACTCTGATGTGGGCAAGTTCAAAAGCCTCCTCATGAGAGTACTTAATGTTCTGAAGTAATGGTTAGTTTGTGCGGTGCCCAACATTTAGAAGACTGTTGTAAGGCTTATTTAATTGTTACTTTATAGCTGCTGTTAGTAGGCTGACTTCTTAGGACACTGTCAGTTAGTTACTTGTCTTTTTTTCCTATTATTTTTAGTTCTAAGATGTGCCGCCAGGGGCATACTTGTAATTTCTATTCTTTTATTAAGTTAGTATAAATAGAAGACTGGCGACAACCAGTAGCATCTTTTTCTCTCAGTCGTACCTCTCTTTTCTCTTCTCTTTCTCTTTTCTTTCTCCCTCTCTCTCTCTCTCCCACTCTCCATAAATCATTACATGGTATCAGAGCAGGTTTTCTGGGCTGTAAAAGACCTACGATCCCTCCTGTTTTGAGTGAGGTCTCCTTCTTTAAAAGTTTTGGACGTGGAAGATGTGGAAACCCTAGCAGTTTCTGGCGGCAGTTTCTGTGGAAACCCTAGCAGCTTTCTGGCGGCAGTTTCTGTGGTTTTTTCCTTGGTCGTAATACCAAGAAAACCCTAGTCGGAGAAGGGCGATGCTGGTACAGACTCCCTTCCTCCTCTGTTCGATGCTGTGGAAGTCAAGTTCAGGTTAGCATCTTCGTACAAGTGCTGAACAGGTGTGTTTTTTGTTTCAGTCTTCTTTGGCTGATGCTGTGTAGGGCTCATTCCTTGGTTATATAGGTTTTTGTTTGGATGTTGGATGGTTAGACTGTATGAACTATAGTCAGACTGATAGTAATGTCTGTCTTGGTGGTGTTGAACTGATTACCGGGCTGGTTTAATGACTGGTTGTGTGGACTGAACCTTCTCAGAGTTGCTTTCAGCAGTGGTTTTTGTTCTCTTGCTCACATCCTAGAAGTAAATTCTTTGAGGATTGGTATTCTGATTGTGGCTGCAGTGTWGTTGGGTGGTGTTTGGATTGTTTTTCAGTAGTATCCGATGGCAAATTATGAATAAGCTTCATCGGGGGCTACACCAACCCGCAGCACAACGGGTATGGGAGGTGAAAAAATGGTTTTTCCCATGCCAATTACCCCTTTAAACGGTCTAAACTACCTGGAGTGGGCTAAGAGCGTAAAACTCTATGTAACGACAAGGGGTAAAGCTGGTTACATTAATGGAAGGGTGAAAGCACCCAAGGGTGAGACGGCTGAACATGATAGGTGGGATCAAGAAAGTAGTATGGTGATGTCTTGGCTCCTCGCAGCCATGGAACCTGATGTGAAGAAGAATTTTATGTGGGCAGACACCGCTAGTGAGATCTGGGAACAGGCCAAACTACCTATTTTGAGCAAAGACATTATGCCAAGGTTTACCAGTTACAAGCTGAATCCTCAACAACCGTAGTTTGTCTTCATATTATTCAGCCCTTACCTCCATATGGAAAGAATTGGATCATTATCAGGCTATAGAGTGGAAACATGATGATGATGCTAAGGCCTACAGGAAGCTGGTCTCTCAGCAACGTGTGTTTGCTTTCTTGTTGGGACTGA